TCATATGAAAACTCACGTTTACAATGATTATTCCTTTACACATAATATACATTACGTCCCTATTATCCCTTAGGTAAATGCTCTATTATTTATTACCATTCGGCTAAATCCTTTAACACCGGTATAAGCCGTTTAAATAATGGATTCGATTACAATATGTACAATATTTCGAATTAAAAAAAGGAGGAGTAAGAAAACGAGAAACAAGAAAACAAAAAAAAAAAAAAAGAAGAAGAAAAGAAATCGCGGACGTATTCGGCTATACACACATACACAGACGCACACATACACAGACGTGCGACACATACATACACACACACACACCATACTTTTGTCGTACATTTATTTATTTGTTTATTTATTTGTTTTCTCTCTTTTTTCTTTTTCTTCTGTTTCTTCTTCTTCTTCTTCTTCGAAGAATTTTCATCGATTTCTTTCGGTTTTTTTTGTTTTCCCCCCCCCTCTAAAAACCGCGCTTAACGTTGATGCGCGAGTGTGAGAGATGGGGGTTAGATCGCGCGCGCGCACGCATCAATAACAAATAAAAACGGGTCATTAGTGTCTACGTAAGGGTGTGTTTATCGAAAAAAAAAAAAAGAAAAAAAAAAAAAAATACACGGCAATGTAAGAGGAATAAATTATATCCAAGTTGAACTTAACATAAATACATATACATACATAACGTACTTACATACACAACTTTAGTGCATTGATTATTTAATATGCACTTTTGATCGTTCAGTTTTTCTCTCTCTCTCTCTCACTCCCTCTCTCTCTTACTTTCTGTATTTTTCTCTTGTGTTTTTTCTTTTTTTTTTTTTTTCATATTTTAACGATACCACATTACGTACTTTTACGTACGTAATAACGCGATCTTTCGTTCGTTCGTACTTGTATATTAGATTTCTTTTTTTTCTTTCACGTCGAGTTTACGTTCGAAAAAGAGATACGGACTCTTTTAATGGATTTAAAACGACATTATGTTACAAAAGGAAAAAAAAAAAAAAGAAAAAAAGACGTACAAATTAAGGAAGAAAAAAAAATTGACTAGCTATAAACACAATATCATGCACCTAGCAGTGTCCCCACGTTATTCGGTCATCTTACAAGATGCCCTATTTATTATACACACACACACACTCTTTCTCTCTCTCTCTCTCTCTCTCTCTCTCTCTCTCTCTCTCTCTCTATCTCTATCTCTATCTCTCTAGCTCTATCTTTTTCTCACTTTTTCTCTTTCGCCGTACAATCTTCGTCGATTCGGGCGGCTTATTTGTGGGCGTCCATCGAAAGCCATTTTTTTCCTTCGTTGTTCGTTTTTTATTTTTTTTTGTCTTCTTTTTTAACGTGTGTTTGTTTTTTTTTTTTGAATTTTTTTATTTTTGTATTTTTTTTTGGATATTTTCTTGGTTTCTTTTTTCAATGCGTTTCTCTCTCTCTCTCTCTCTCTCTCTCTCTCTCTCTCTATCTCTCTCCCTCACTCTTTCTCTTTCTTTCAACAAGGCACGCGTTCATGGCACGAAACAATAAAGAACGTAGAAAAATTGATTCGCCGGCTCTCGACTCGCCCCATACAAAAGTAATTACAATGTATGTACTTAATTACATACCCATTTACTTTATTTATTTCCACGATTTCCCTTGGGCTCGATTTATCTATAGATAATATGGTATACGCTCTATTATAGATCAATACTGATTTGCATTATTTGGCGTGCTCATATTTTTTTTTTTTTTTTTTTTATTTTATATATCAGTCGTTTACGCTCTCGCAATTGTTCATTTTATTTTATTTTATTTCGTTTAATTTCACTTTGTTTTTTTTTTTTTTTTTTTTTTTATTTATTTATTTATTTTTATTCATTTTTTTATCTTTTTCTTTTCTTTTCACTTTTTTTTTTGGTTTTGTCAAAAGTCGAGGTTAGATATCCTCGTCTTCGATAAACGTCGCAGCTTTCATAGCATACGCGGAGCTCTTTTCTTTCTTTTCTTTTTTTCTTTTATTTTTTTTTCTTTCTTCTTTCATGCGTGTCAGCCTTAATCGAAAAGATTTTATAACAGGTACGGAAATTGTTCGCCGGTTTCATCGTCCTCGGCATCATCGCTCGATTCTTGACTGGACGGTGGTGTATCCAATTGGGGTAAACCGAGATCTAAATATTC